TCTTGCAGGCTCCCTCCCTTGTTAGTATGCTGTCTCCACCAGGACACTCACTAATTGTTTGTCGAATGACCGCGGTGCTTTTTGCCTCGACAACTTTTCCGGGGAGGTCATTCAGCACATTCATTACGGGGCACCTGCTCGCGCTGCTGGAGCGAAGGGTCTGTCAGCATTTTCCAGGAGTTTATAACTTGGCTGTAAATGTTTGTGTGGAGCTGAAAATCGTTGCATGATTTCTCCCGGGCAGAAACCGTCTGGTTCAGGCCCTTTGTTCCTGTTCCCTGTGCCCAGGTGCTGTTGGCAGCACTGGCGTGGGGACCCCTGTCCTGGTGCCTGTGAGCCCCTGTCTGCCAGGCTGGGGGGATGCTGGGCTGGGCACTACTCTGTACTCTGCAAGGACAGACTCACCCTCTGGCTCTGTGCAGCTTGGCAGAGCAGGGAGGACAGCTGCTGGAATCTGCTGCTGCAAGACCCCACACCGTGCTGGGGTGCAGGGCTGTGGGGCCCCCGGGGGGGTGGCAGTGATGCTGGGCAACCTGGGCAGCTGATGTGCTGCTGGCCATGGGAGCCTTGACCTTTGTTAGCTGAATTGCTGCAAGCTTCAGTTTAACAGTCCTCAGCTACCTTTTTTTTGAAAGATCTATTATGCTTGGAGCATCTTGCATCTTCCTCTTTCTCAAAACTGAACTTCAAAATGCTTCCAGAAACAGGTCTGGAATTCGTGCATCAGCCCAGAGATGTGCATTTGGCCAAGCTGTGGTACCCTAATGGTCCCGGCATGACAAGGAGTTTCGTAGATTTCCTGCTCACCATGGCTGCACTTGCGATAATGAGAAGGGAAAACCCAAACCAAACAAACAAACAATCCCCCCCAAAACAAGCAAACAAAAACCTGCCAGGAAGTAAATTCCCTTGTACATGCTGGACCAGGGGGAGAAAATAAAGCCGGTTCCTAGCTGGTTTCCAGCTCAGCACCATATTTTTGGCCAAGGATGGGTAACTCCACACTGACGTGCATCAGCAGATAGCACACTCAAATCCCTCTGATCCTGGGACTGTTTTTTAGCAGGGGCTATCCCAGACCACTGACTGTTTGACTAGACCTATTTGTGACACTGACACCAGGGATGAGTTCCCAGAAATGTTTTCGGAAGCAAAAGGATGGGAAGGCACTCAAACAGAAGGAGCCCAGAATTGGTTCAGGCAGGTCAGTTGGTTTTGATTTCCCACAAGCTCTCACCCTCTTTACAAACTGGAGAAATGCTGGTGGCCTCGGGACCAGGACACTGGTTTTCCCTGCCTCGGGCCAGAGGGCCCACAGCTCCTTGACTCAGCCCTGTCACTGCTCTGGTGAAACCCGTGGTGCTGGAGCCCCTCTAAGCTGTGGTGGGTGCAGGGGTCTCCCTGCCCTCGGCTGTTTTAGGCTGGAAGCACTCCCAGAGCACGGCTCTCACGTGGCTCTGTGCTCAGGCCAGCAGCAGCTGTGATGGGTAAATGTTCCCCTCTGACACCCCGAGCCAGAGCTGTCTCTCATGCTAACCCAGCCCTGCTCTAAACAATGAGAATGGGGCACCCCCTTTCCCACAGCTCCCCCAGCCCCGGGGCGCGCCCACTCCCCCAGCCCCGGGAGTGATGGAGCGGCTGTGGCCACTGGGTCGGAGCTGTCGGAGCACGCAGGGCAACGGCACTGAGACACTCTGCTGCTGGGGAACCTGTGAGAAATTAAATTCTCCACTTGGCTGGGCTGGGTGACTTGGCTTTGCTCTGCCGACTTGTTCCTTCATTATTTTTTTGGCCGATAACTGACTGCAAGCTTGTCTTGTCTGTTTAATACCAGCACAGTGGCTCCAGGAGAGGCTCAGGCTTGTCAGTCTCAGCGAGTGCGCACTGTATTGCTCTCCCCACTTCATTTACTTCGTGGACAGGAGGGGAAAGGCCTCAAGGTGCTGCCGAGCTGGCAGCTGGGACGGAGGGTTTCTCTGCAGGGTGGGCTGCTCTGTGTGGAACAGGCTGGGGCACAGGGAGATCTGCGCGTGTCCAGGGGAGCTTGAATGGGGCCAGGTGAGCTGAGGACAGTCATTATTAAGATTAATCTCTCCCTCACACCTTGGAACATGTTGAAATCTCCAGGCAGCCTCACAGTCATGTTTCCAATGGACTTGGCTGTTCTTGCTCTCTGAGCACTGGGTGCAGCAGCACCTGTGGCTGCAGTGGGATGTGGATGCAGGGCTGACATTTCCTCTCTGGACAGAAGAGGTGCCATTTCTGAAGCACCATCTCCCCATGTGTGTACTGTTCTATGCAGACTAACACGTTTTGGGTAACATGAGGGTCCAGAAGCCAATCTACTACAAGGTCAAAGCCACACACCCAGGCAGACCTGATTGCATCTGTCCCTGGTGTTTTTGCAGCAAAGATGGAAGGGGGGTCAGTTCAGCCCCCTGAGACGGATCTTTGCCTGGAGGACAGGCTGCCTGCACTTGACTGCAGTGCCAGGACAGTTTGGTTCTTGGAGCAGGGCTTCGCAAACACAGTTGGTTTTTGTTTAATTAAGAGCAAGCAGAGAATTTAAAGACTCCGTTTTCTCCATCCTGTGATAAATTAACTTCCTTCTTGCTCAGGAGGACAGGAACAGTCCAGATCAATGATCTTACTGATGCCTGGCCTCTCCTCCTTCGGAGGCAGAAAGGGACAGAGAGCGTCAGCCCCTGCCCCTGCCTCTGCCTTTGGGGCAGCAAGTGGAGCGACTGCGGGTAATGATGATGAATGGCATGATTAATGCTGGAACTCAGACCTACAGCTGGAATTTTAGACCCTATTCACAGAATAATATCCAGCTCCTGCTGTGTTATTTGGGGGCACTTAGGGTGCAGCTGAAGGCAGTGGGGTGCTCCATGTGAACCCCCCAACAGATGGACACCCCTGCCTCACACTGCGTTCAAGGGATCAGAGGGCTCCTGTTCCCGTGCCTGGCTTGGTGCGGAGCTGCCGCCAGTGTGGATGTGGCTGTGTTGAGGGATGCCAGTGTCCTGTGACAGACACCAGAGGAGATGTGGGCACCCACGGGTAGGATGTCCCAGACCAGAGACCGCTGGATGGTGGCTTTTGTCCCTCTGGGTTCTGGGCAGAAAATAATTTCCCATTTTTAATTTTTTTTGTGCATTTAATACTGCACAAAAAACCTGGTAGATTTATACATTTCCCAGAAATCACTAGATAGACACAACACCTTCAGCTCTGCCTGAGCAATGCTGGACCTTGGCTGCAGTTTTCACTTTTCTAAACTCCTTCTTTAAATGTATTTTTATACGGCAGTGTTGACCTTTTCTGCCAGCCCCCGTGGAGCGAGGTTGTATCTTGTGTAAAAGTCATATCAAATGGGCCACAAAAAATCACTCTTGCCTGATTAAAATGAATAGTCTAGACGGTGTGCATTTTCCTTCTGTGTCGTTAGCTTTGTGTGAGAGCTTGCAGCAATCAGGGCTTTTATGGGAGAAACACAGCTACAGGTACCGCAGGCTGCCTTAGCAGATACTAATTACAATTCCTGGAAGGATTGATTTGCAAAGAAAATTTCTATTGCCTCAAGGACAAACGTTTGTGCAAATCATATTATTGTGTATGAGAAATTGGTAACACTTTATGAAATGGTTCTTTTATAAATACTTTACTATTTATTAAATTAAATGGTTTTATAACAATCCTTTTGCTAAGTTAAAATATCGTAAGTGTTCTGGTTTTGCATTATTTCTGTGCTACAAAGCCTGCTCTCAGGGCTCGGTTGGCATCACCTGTTAAGTCCATTGTTGGTGCAGTTTGTAACACACCGTGTCTGACACTGCGGTGCCCACGCACACTGCTGGGTGTCAGAGCAGCAGCTCCCCTGGGCATGTCCTCTCCCCTTCTTCATTTGGATGTGAAATTCTAGAACAGAGTAATTTGAAGTGGCCTGATTCCTGGAGCACGGATTTTCACTGTGACAAATAGCACAAACCTTGTCCATGTTGTATGTCTGGTTTCTTCAGCGCAGGTGGCACATGCCCAGGCCCTCTAAGAGGCAGGGTGGATGGTTTGTGAATCAGATTCAGCTGCTTTGAGAATGTACAGAGTGAGCCCTCCCATCCAGGAGTGAGCCCCTTTGGAAGTGTCTTGGCAAGCCGCAGCAAGGTGACATGTGCTGACACCTGCGGTCCCTCGGCTCATCCAGTGCAGCTCATGGAACAAGAGGTGGGTGCCCAGCCCTCACCTGTGGGACCAGCAGGTATCTGATCCATCTGACAGGAGATGCAGCTGCTGCACAGAGGAGGATGAGACCGTTTTTGTACTTCCTTCTTGCTCAGATCTGACCTTCTTCAGAGAGGAGCTAGGAGAGACCTGCAAGTGGGAAGCATCCTGCGTTGTTTCCAAACCCATAGGCAGGTTTGGGTATTGTTACCGAGGTCAAGCCAACTGTATCCCAAGGTACAGCACTTTGGTCCTGATTTAGGTCTTCAATACTCGGAGGCTCAGGAGCTGCTTTCCCATTTTCCTGTGGGAGCACTGTTTGCAATCCCACGGTGACTGGTGCTGTGTCCAGGCTCACCACTGTCCACCTGATCATGCTTCCAACACAGAAATTGGCCAGTTGTTCCATTCCTATTATTGATTTTACCTGGAGGAATTAGAAGAGGAAAAATCATTGCCTTGCATGCAGCTGGGGAGGTGGACAGGAGCAGTGGTCACACCCGTCAGTAATCAAATCCTGTTGGTCCTGCATGTTACTGGTGCTGTGTGAGGGCTCTGAGGCTGATCAGCTTCATTCCTACTTGGAGAATCTGACCTTGCCTTCCAAAATTCTTGACTGCTCTGGAAAACAAGCAGACAAGACACCTTTACTGAGCTAGGAATTTCTCCTGAATGTCCCCTCTCTAATTTATGTTCCCTCTCACTTCATTGCCTGCAGCAGAGCCCGTTAATGGTGGCAGTTTGTGACACAACTGAAGGCTCCTCTAACGGGCAGCTCTCCCACGATTCCACCGCGCTCTGACTTCGGCTGCATTTGCCAGCATGGTGGGGCTCAGCTTCTCCCACTCTGTTTCCCAGGCTCCACAGACTAATCCTTCCTTTGGCTGGCTCTGCTGCTGCTATGGCAATATTTTCTCCCCCATCGTGGTAATCACGCAATGGTCTCTGAGAACAGCAGGAGAAGCAGTGCTTGGTAGATGCATAAAAGGTAAGATGAACTACATGTCATAAAACTTTTAAAAGTTCCTTTTTTGTGTTTGTGCGGGGGTTATTTTATATGGCTTTTGATATGAAGCTAAAATTGCACATCAAAAAGGATAATGCATCTTTAAGCTGTTACAATGACTTCTAAATTTTTCATTTAATGTCAGTGAGGAAAAAACCCCTCAGTTGGCTGAGTTACGTTGGTGAGATGGCTGTTTCATTCCATAAAGTGTCTGCAGTGGATTTGAACAGTAGGAAATCCAAGGGTGATAAATAGCTATTTCTAAGTAAATTTCATGCAATTGCCCTTTGGTTAAAGTCTTTCCTCTCAGCACTTTCCTGTGCACATAGCCCAACTAATAATATTCAGGAGCAAGTGCTTTCCAGTGTGACAACTGATTGCACTTTGAAGCAGTAAATGGCTGATTTCATAATTGGTATAATTTTTCACAAGTACCTGAATGTCATATACAGAAAGAATAAGCAACCTGGACTTAATACGGGAGCTTTTTCAATTCTCCTAAAAATCAATAATGTATTAAACCCCTCTAACTGATTAAAATAATGTGAACCCTGAGTAGGTTTTGTGAGGAAGGCAGGTTTCTTCAAGGGTGGCAGATTTATGGCAAAAGGGTTAATACATGGGGAGAACAGGGATACGTTACAGATGGAGTCCGTTTTCCTAATTAAACTTTTATCAAGATTTTCGCAGTTTGAATTGTTTCACTTAGCACGATGGGAAGGAGCGTTTCCTTCAGTGTTCAGGGCAGCTCCTGCCGAGTGTGTGATACCAAGAGCTCTGTCCTCACAGAAAGTGTGCAGATTATGAGGAGAAGAAACATGGAATCCATTCCAAAAGCATCACGTCAGCTCTGGAGGGTCCTGCTGCCCTGTGGCAGGAGAGGGTGCAGGGCAGATTTTGGGGGTAAGCTGAACAGGTGTTGTTGCTGGCTCCTTAGGAGTCTGAGGTGGGAATTCAGGATGGATCCAGCCTGGGGAGGAGGCTGCTGTGGGGGCTGTCCCAGGGCACAGGGGGCACCTGCATGCTCAGGGGCCTCTTTGTATGGAAAAGTTCAAGTAGTGTCACAGAGAAGTGAATGTGACTGGCAGGGCTACAGAAGACAGAGCCTCTCACTGGGAGGTAAGCAGGAGGTTGGGTTTTTTCCCAGAATCTGAAGATTTCTTGAAATCCTTTCAGACTGTTGTGGAAAAATGTCTGAAGGTCTACTGAGAAAATTATTTGTAAAGCTAAAGCAAAGATGCAGCCTGATGGCAGGGGCGTGCGGGTGGCAGGGCACAAGCAGGGAGGAGGGTGCAGAGGGCAGGTGAGGGAGTGGGCACCTGGCAGCCCCGTGGGTGCAGCACCCACCACCCCTCGCCAGCAGCACTGTGTGTGGCCGGTGGCTTGGAGGTCAGAGCAGTGGGATGTGCACGAATGCCTCAAGGGAGATTAGGACACAAGATCTCTGGTGTTAAAGCCTTGGCAAGCTGCTGGTGTTGGTTCCCAGTGCCGTGGGCATCTGCCCAGCCTGACAAGGTGGCACCATGTCACCTCTGCGTGGGGAAGCCACGACCCTGCTTGCTCCCACACTGTGGGTGGGAGCGCATGTCCCTGCCAGGTCTGACCCTGCATTTCCCCAAGGAAGGGCACATTCCTTCTCAGGGGGGTCACAGGCAGGTGGATTGAGGAATCTATTTAAACTTCTCTCCTCAAGATCATGATCAGACATCTTAAGCTATGCATTATTCACATTTGTCTGTTGTTTCTAACTCATTTCCTATTTTCCAGCTGAGGGACTCTGCCAGAAGCACTCTTTGCCAGAGATTAAAACAATTTAGGAAGCAGACACCCAATTCCTTTCTTTGGATAGTAGGCAAATTGGATATCTGTGAGAAGCAAGCAAATTTTATTATCAACAGATAGTTTGCTACTTAACTATCCTTAAGAATCCCCCAGCATTTCCAGGCGTTTGTTAGTTGTCTTGAGCCAAGAGGCACGTGTGGCACATGCCCTGCTGAGGAGCCCAGCCACTGCCGTGCCAGCCTGCACCCGTGCCTGGTGCTCCCATGGCAGCCTGGGAGGGCAGTGTGGGGAGCAGGTGTTTAATGGCAGAGAAGGTGCCAGAAAACAAATGTACCTGGTGCAGGAGGAAGAGCCCAAGGTGCTCCCTGGGATCTGGACCCGACTCAGTGAGCTCCCCAGGAGCTCTGGCTCTGTGGGCTGTGCTCTGCCTGTCTCTTATGTTTGTACTGAGGCCAAGGGACACAGGAAATTGCATTGACTGTGGCTCTCCTTGGTTTATATCAAAATAGCTGTTTTAAGTGTAATTATCACTAATTTGGTAAAGGCGCCGCTAGATACGTAAATTTTTTTTCTAATGTATACATGTGGCAGGTCACTGGATGCGATGACATGGGATAACCAAATCAGAACCATTTCCTAGCTTTCTAAGCAGGTTTTCAGGGGTGTGTTTTAGTATCTGGAGGTCTTCCAGATGCCTTCCCCATAGGTCACCTGGAGCTTCCTCACAAGGAAGGTGCACATCCTGCATTTCCCAGTGTGTTGGGGCGGTGCAGGAAGTTCTGCAGCAGTCCAGGAACACAAAGGGGATGGCTCTTAAAATTATACAAGTATTAAAAAAAAAATCATAGAATCATTCATCAGGATTGCTGTAGTTCTTGACCACATAGTCAATGATTTATTTAATCTTAATATATTCCACAAAGAGTCCCCATATTTCCATAAATATGTCATATCTACCTAATACATAGTAATGAACCTGCTCCAAGGGTAAATAAATAAGATCTAAGCTCAGCAAGCCAATGTTTATCAAAGGGAGATATACAGATATTGAGTCCTTTAAAGTACCATTCTTCACAGCAATCACAACCAAGTTTGGCAATTTATAACGTGTCAAGTCAATTAGAAATCCCAGGGGACTCAGAGCGAGCCCCAGCGTGGGGGGCCTGAGGTCCAGCTGTGCATATGCAAGCGGGTGTGAGCACGTTGGGGCATGGCTGTGGCACTGCAGCCCATCAGACCCTGCAGGAGAGCCCCCTGGCACTGCAGAGCTGTCAGCAATTCTAAGACATTGATCTGTATAGAATCATTGAGGTTGGAAAAACCCTCTGAGATCATCAAGTCCAATCATTCCCCAAGTGGTGCCAAGAATTTGCTAATTTTTGTTTTGAGAATTGTCTATTATGAAAAACTGAAATAGTTTTAAACAGAAAATTTGATTTGGAGTGTTTTAATTTATCTTATTCCATTGTTCCATGGAATTACATATATCAGTGTATTACATTATGAAATATGCTAATGTAAATATTTCCATACAAATACATTGAAAATACCTAAAAATATGATTGCAAAGGGAAATAACTAATTTTTTTACAGATTGCACTTTCCTAATCTTATTTTCCTCAGCAAAGTATTTCATGTCATTTTTGTAATTAGTTTGACAAAGTCAATAATAATAGAATATTCTGATTATGTCAATATGACATGTAATATTATGCACTTCTCTACTATTATGCATATTATGACATGACTTGACATGATATGATGGGTCACATTATGCACTACTACTGATGTTATAAAATAATGTAAAAGTAATGAAAACAAATTTTGAAATGAAAGTTTTTAAAAAGAATTCATGACTTTTCCTGAGAGAAATTCCCAAGCAAATCTTTTTCCTTTCTGTTTTAAAAAAGTTTTTTCATTTGGTTACTCCGCTTTTCCCCCAAGTAAAACCTTTCATTCCTCATCCTCAGCTTTGCTGTCTGCTTGTTGCTTTGTTCACCCACAGCAGCTGGGTTTGGTGTCAGCTTTTAAAGCTTTCCAGGAGGAGCGTGTGGGGAGCACAGAAACCTGGAGTGTGGGGATGTGTCCCAGCACATGAGGTGACACTGGGTGACACCAGACCGGCACGTGCTTCACTTGTGAGCTCTCGTGTGAAGTACACAGCATGCTGATCCTGATTTATGTTCATTTTTACAGGTATGCAATGATAATTCCCACCTTCCAGAAACACAAAACAGTTTGGAAAACATTTATAGCAGGTTGCTGGTGAGCTGGGTGCTTGCAAGCCTGAGCTTGCCCAGTGTCCATGGCTGATGTGACTGCAAAGGTGCAGATTTCCTGTGCAAATCTTTAAGTAAACGTGGCACTGCTGGCAGGCAGGTGGGAATTTTGGTGGCCTGGAGACTAAAGTGGGAATCCAAAATGGGCACCAGGGACTGCAGGGTATGCCCTGTGTTCTCCTGGCTGTGAAGCAGTCGGTAACACAGCGGCTGGGATTCGGATTCATTTTTAATGAAACACTTTTTGCAACAATCCTACAGCAGCCCCAAATGGTGGCAGACAAGAGGACGCCAGGTGGAAGAACTGCTCCTGCCTCAGCAGCTTCCTGAGCCCCTCTGTGAGGGAAACCCCCCACGATACCATGGGGAGCAGTGGGGACAGGGTGGTGGGAAGGGGCACTGGGCAGGGGTGAGGACTAGCAGACAGTAGTGGTCATGGAAAAGCAGTGTCAGTGCTGGCAGGTGGTGTGAGGATGAGGCTGATGAAGGGGGAAGGTGAGTGTGAGTGTGTTGGGGACCCCTTGACACGTGCTGCAGGGCAGGGCAGGACAGGGCTGCCTGATCTCTCGCCCTCTGCCCACTGGGGTCCTGCACCCAGGCTGGTGCCTGTGGGGTCAGGCAGAGGCTGAGGGGGTCTGGTGGCACTCTGCCTTAAAAATGGGCATCCCTTTCCCAGGTTTGGCTGTCAACCTCCAGGGCAGCCATGCAGGACCTGCTGCTGGGTGCCAGCTCTGTGAGATAGCCCATCTGGCCACAGTGGGAGCATTGGGGGACCCAATGTCCTCTCCCTGGTCTGACGTGCTTCACTGCGGGCTCTGCGTGGAATGGGCACTGCTGCTGAGAACTTCCCAGGCACAAGAGACCCTGGTGATACAAGAAAGGTCATCCAGGAACCTCAACAGTGTTATCCTCAAATGGAAATGTCATTTTTTATTATTCAGAGCTGATAGAGTGCTCAGAATGAAGGCAGCTGATGGCAGGGGGAGCTTCAGCTTGGACAACTCAGCCCCAGCTCCCAGTCCTCTCCTGCACACGATGGGCTCAGAGCTCTCAGAGCCACCATCCTGCCTGGCCGCCCTGCCCACGCCAGCCATGGGCCCTGCTCTGGCCATGGCACTGCAGCCTCGGAAAGGAAGTTACTGGTGTTCCCGACCGGCGCTGGAATGCCACTTCCATCTCCATGAATGCAAATGAACGGGGTTTGATCCAAATTGCATTTCCTCTCCTAGTCTGGAGTATGACGGCACATTAAAACCTGTAATATTCCACTGCTGGTCTTTTGCATGATTTTTTAATTAAAAAACTATGGAGTAAACAAACATTCTGCTCTGGAGTAGCCCTGCAGAGACTCATCCAGAGGCACATTCACAGCCCTCTACTTTTTCAACAAAGTTTATATCTTAACCAAAAAAAAAATAATAATAATATCACCCACCCTAACAGTTAGTATTGGGTAAAAGTTTGAAGTGAAAGGCAGCTGGCAACCTTCTCCAGCCCGTGAAATGATATTAACATTTTATTATTCTAAGGTGAGCTTTTTGAAACGGAATTTTAAATGTTACCCTGCTGTTCCAGAACACAAAAACCTTTAATTTTATGCAAATGAACAGCGAGGAGCTGAGCGCTTAATGTAAACGAACACTTTCTTTGTAGGAGAGGTTGGAAGGGAAAAAAAAATTCCCAGGGATTCTTTAATTGCTGTCTGAAATTATGTAAATCCCAGCGCTAGGCAGAACGCAATTATCCCGTGCCCCTCTCTGCCAGCATTGCTAATGTCTAACAAAATATCGGTGGGTGACATTTAGTCGAGGTAATGCAAATGAGAATTAATTTTTTTCCAAGACAAAGGGCAGCTAAAAGATCACCTCGTTCCTGCACGGAGGGGGCAGAGCAGGGGGTGAGGGCAGCAGGAACTGGGGCGCATGGTGCTGGGGGGCAGCAGGGCCCAGCCCAAAGCCCATCAGCGCTGCTTTATCTTTTATTTCTCAGAGGGATGAAGCCTGGGGAAGGGAGGGCAGGTTGTTTGTTTGTTTTTCTCTTTAACTCGTGGTCATCCCGGCCCGAGGGCAGGGTGGGAACCATGATTTAAACCCCTTAATGGCTCTGGCTGGTGGTGGGCAAAGGCAGCGGTGATTTATCACCTTCCCATGCTGATAACTAGCAAAAATTCTATTAAATATTCAGAGTGAGGCTTTTGCAACACAATTATCAGACGGGGTTTGTTAATGCAAAAATGCTCCTCGAGCACAAGAAAGGGGTTGCTGATGCGGGTAAGGGGCTGTTCTGCAAAGGGTAAAAACTGCCCCCATGTCACCCAAGGCTGGGGGACAGCTCACCCCACGTGGAGGTGAGGGCGGCTCACAATAATGCAGGATAAATCAGGGAAGTCATGCAGGGGTTTTCCTCCTTTTCTCTTTTTATTTTTCTTTTGGCTCCCTTTGCTTCAAAGGCCATAAGAGCCTGTGACTCTGCCGACCTTTTAAAGGGAAAAGAAACCCTGGTGGGAACTGGCATGAGGCAAGGCAGGGCTGTGTGAGGAGGGATGAAGTATATGGATACTCAAAAGGCTCCCGGTAAGGGTAAGAAGTGCTCGAGGAATTACCCTTTGAAATGTACACTTTGCAGGGAGACCCTGAGGATCATCCTGCTGAGGAGCCAGGCTGAGTTGCACCATCTGCTTGGGATTTAGGATAGGCAGGGCTGTGAAATATGAATTAAAAATACAGAGTAACAGGAAATAGTTTCCTCTTGCCCTCTTGCAATTTTGGAAATTGCACCGAGCAAAGCTGGATGGCCTCATGCTGTGGCATTCCCTGTGACAGGGATGGGTCACTGGGACCCAGCTTGGACCCCAGACCCACACCACAGGCTTTGCTACCCAGCACCAGCCCCACCTGAGTATCACTGCTCTGGCAAAGCTCAGGCACATCCCTAGTTTTTATATTCAATTCTTGCTGCATCAGCTCCCCATGGTCTTGCTACAACAGTGGGTGAAGTGCCAGTGCCCACATGGAGCCCTGGACTCCCAGGTTTTCCTGGGCAGCATCACCAGCTGCCTTCTACTCGCTCTGAGTTGCTGAAGCCAGTACCCCGAGAAATGCATCCACTGACATCTCACTGTGGCCACCAGCCTGCCCATCCCCTCTCCACCCATGCTGGGCACCCACAGGGGTTGCACAGTCCTGCCACACAGGTACCCTCCAGGGGAGGAAGGTGAGGTGGTGCAACTGCAGGCAGGAGGTGTCTCTGTCTGCAGGACCCTGCTGCCATCCAGACAGAGGCTGTCCTTGTCCTCTGAAAATTTATAATCTTTATAATCCAAGACTTAGACTCTTCAAAGCTTTATGCCTGACTTTAACCTGTAGCACATGCATAGTCTCAGTGGGATTTCTCATCTGTTAAGAGTTAAGCATGTACATAAATCTCTGCAGGCTGGGGCCCAAGGCATTCCCACGCACACATGCACACGCATTCCTGCACTCACGCGTAATGGAACAGCTCTGTGCAGCCCACTGTGTGCGTCAGTGCAGGGGCACACCGAGTCCCTGACACTCGTGCCAACCTCCTGAACATTACTTGAGCAGTTTGGATACTGTTGGGGTGTTGAACTTCTGACACCACCTTTGGCAAATCCCCTCTCTGTGCCAGCATCTCTGGGAAGCAGGAGGGGGACGACAGCGCAGTGACTGTGCCGGAGGTGAGCCAGGAGCAGCCGTGACAGCCACAGACAGCATCTGGGTCAGAGTGGGAACAGAAAAGAGCTCAGGAAGGCACTGATGTGCCACGTAGTTGGCATGGAAAGAGAAGCATGCTGAAGGTCTGCTGTGCAGCAAGGGTCTACCTTGCCTCCCACCCCATGGACTGCTTGCTCACAAATGTGCCTAGGGCAGCATAAGAGGACCCAGGGCAGCACGTGCAGATGCTTCACTCCAGCCCAGCTCATCTAGTGCAGCCTCTTGTGCTCAAACACTCCCATGTAAACTGTCACCACATACCAATGCACCCCGTTCATTTTCACTGATGAAAGCTGGTCCAATGAGACCTGGAGTTAAACTAATGTAAGAAACCACCAGATTTTTTGCAGACCAGTAGAACTGGTAAAATGCTGTGCCAGCTGCAGTACGTCCTGACAGCAGATGGTGCTTGTTGGGTGATTGTATGTAGCAGCACTGTATTTGCAGGGCTCTGGGCTATGAGATTCACTGTACAAATCTCCAAACTTTAATTTCTATGTTGCAATCTCTGCCACCAAATGACCAAAAAAAGGGGAGTACACTTCACATTCAAAATCATCCCTGTGAAGGCCTTTTTTTCCCCCTCACGTAACGTTTTAAGACGTGACCTTCTACTAAGCTCTTTCCACTTCATATCTGATTTGCAATGGGAACGCGTAAGGCCTCTTTAATTTGGGGTTAGAAATCCAGGCAAAGCCATCAGGTGAGAAGCAGCATTTCATAAATGTCTTGTGTTGTGCAGCACTCGCTTTTTTAAGAGCAAAATCGCATTCATTTCCCTAAAGCATCACCTGCCCAGCCAGGCAGCCATGGCCACGAGCAGCGCAGGCACCGCGGCTCGGCCGCGCTCGCCCCGCGCCCGCAGTGCTCGGGTCAGCTGCTATTTGTCAAAGCAGCCGTGGCCGCGGCCCCAGGCAAAGCGCTGAGCACAGCACGGCACCCTCTGAGCTGACCCGGGCACTTAGCCTTTCTGAGAAATATTTATGGAAAGGTCAGCAAATGCTTTGTGACAGGACTCTGGCACATCCCTAACCCGCTTCTCTCCCGCTCCCTGTCTCGCCCACGTGCCAGGCGCGGAGCAAACCAGGACCGCAGCTCCCTCCTGCCGACGTTTCCTCCTTCCCGTTGCACGAATGCCACCGCGAGCCCCCGCGCTGGGGACGCATTTCTGGCTGTGCCCCGTCTGTTTCCACAGGATGCTCGTGCATCAGCCCAGTGATTTCCCTTCTGCACCCATGCCATCACGGCTGTGCTGCAGGAAGCAAAGCCCTTCTCCCCATGCCCTGTCTGGCCTGGCCACAGCCTCTGCTGCCCTAGTCCCCATCTCTGTGTCACCACCTCTCGTTGGAGTTAAGGTTTGGGAGCCATGGTTGGACAGGAATGAGCAGGACCTGTTACTGCACAGTGCTGGTGAGGAGGAAGCACTGTGCAGGGTGACAGCAGGATGGCTCCATGCACTGACCATGGTGGCACCAGGTTCCTTTTGCTGATGGCACCAGGTACCCTAGCCTCCAGAGCCAACTACACTTCCCCATCTTATTGCCAAAGGTGTCTGCATCAAACATGCTTTTGCTGTGCTCACTGTGACCATGTCTGGGCAGCCCCAGCTACTGGGATTGCTGCCCCATCTGCCGGCTCCATCTTTGCCTGCCATCCCACTGTCAGCAGTGCCAGCTGCCCGGACTGGCAGCTCCTGCTCACAGGGAGGCAGACAGACTGACAGACAGACAGAGCAGCAGCAGGAACCAATCACTCTAAACAGATTTACCAGCTAGAAAGTTTCTTGTGAGAAAATAGAGCCATGAGGAGCACATGGTCCTGAGGAGGAAACAGGCTTAAGTGCCTGAGCCCTCCTGCCCTGGAATGGCCCAGGCCACTAAGCAGATCAGAGCAAAAACCTCCCGAAGCTGGGTAATTCCGCCTCTTTCCGATAAGCCGGTAACACCATTAATGGGGAGTCTGGCAAGGAAGGAACTGTGCTGGGAAAGCACTGCACCTCCACACACGGCCTATTAAAAAGGACTTAATCATAGAGAAGCCACAATGTGCACTATGTGACATTATTCCTCTGAAATAAAATTTTATATACAGTCTATCTGAGAGTAGCACAAAATAAATACTTCTAAAATCTATGATTACTGTAGGGTTTTTTTTTTTAATTTTATATTGGTGGCTGAGTTCTGCTCTTGCTCCAAAGGATTAGAGGGATAATTCTATTACAATTTAGTAACAAGATTAAAAGAGCCAGTTATCCATTTATGGGGGTCTATGGAAACGAGCAGTGGCTTCTGGAGGTCTCAGGCTCTGAGTAGGTGTATCACTCACATCACAGACACATCCAAATCAGGTTAAGGCACAGGCAGGACATGCCGAGGTGAAAAGGTCTCTGGGGCCACCTGTCCTGGCTATATTGGGGCAAGTGTTCAGGGGTTCGTAGGGCGAAAGGACACAGATGTGCAGATGCCCTAGTTTGAACGGTCACGGAGCGAGGAGAAAGGCAGGAAGAACAAGGAGTGTT